ACTGAGCCCTCCTACCGCTCTACACAACACGAATATGATAGAGGAAGTAGTTTGGTTTTCTTTATTTTCATACCCTTTAAGAGGCAAGTGGGAATATTAATTTTGTTGAACTGGGTCTCTACTAATTTCCTCCTTAAATCACCCCCTTCCGATTTTTAGTCCGATAACAAGGATCACCACCTAACTTTGAAAGTCGCACGCCTAACAATTGGTGTTGTCACTACCATTAATAGCCTCCCGCTCATTCACTCACTTTGTTTTTGTAGCTGACTGAAAGGAATACTTGCTCAATTTAGCATGCCCAAGGTGATAGCTGATGTTGGTAATTGTGGCAGTCAATTTAATCATTTCCGTCCTCCACATCTCCTCTACATACGGCACAACTGCTATTAGTCAGACGACATGCAATAGGTACCGCTATAACGGTTAGATTGCAGGTGCTGTGCTCAGAAGAGAGTCCGCGTCAACACCAAGTTTTGCGTGCCTGGGGTCGCATAGGCATGCGAATCGGTGGCTTGAAGGTAGGGCACCTCGTCAGTCTCCACGCCGCCACAAAACGCTTGTACGACCTCTTTCTTAAGAAGACTGCTAACTCCTGCGGTACCGAGCGTGCCAATTTTGTCAAATTGTAACGTCCTATTTTCCTCTCAAACTGGAATAAATTGACCTCAAAGTAGACAACATCATACCACCTCTATATTGCTGTTTCAATGTACTACGTATCCACAATATAAACGCAGACTTATTTCTTGCATTGGCCTGTTTGATGTAGAACTGTGTGATGTTGAACTCGGAATATGGATGACATGGCGAAGGCTGAATATAACCAGTCTAGAGTTTTACTGTTTAGTTTACAGCTCTCCAATCGTTATGTAGCCTTCGCCCTTTTGCGAGTGTCGTTCTACACTGTAATCCGATGTTATGAAACGACTTGTGTGTTTGAAAGGTGAAGGTGCTGCCATGAATATCTTATCAAGGCAACGTGGCGTGTGGTGTGTTTTTTGTCTAATTTGGTGCAAATTTATCTGTGGGTGGTTTGTTGTTTCAAGAGCGCTTCGATTCATATTAGCTTGCAACAGGGGGTGTTTTCTAAGCCTTTCTAAGCCCTTCCTTATATTTGCACCCCTTTTAGCACTTCTCT